ATCGAGAAACCATGATAAGGAATTGTAGATAATCGATCAAATAATGTTTATGCCAAATTTGAGCCAATTCTGATGTGCCGTTTTTTTAAAGACCTTAAAACAAGTTTCGAAAAATCAACCAATCACAGTTTAAACATGGCGGCCATTAACGCGGCCTTAAGCCGTTTTTTTCCAGGTATTTTGGCAACAAAAAAATGGCGGTATAGGCAATTCAATGCTTTAGGTACCTGTTTTTGGTGCCAAACACCTGCCAAAAACTTGGCTTCGCTTTAGTTTCATAAGCAGAATGGCGCGTTCCTACTCCGTAGGACAGCGCTTTACCTGCTCTAAGGCTACAATTATGTGGTGTCGGAAGAAAAATAAAGTGTAAACCTTACCGGTAAAGTGATTTTTCCAGACTTCAAGAAGTGGGCTCGCTCTTACATTTCTTCTTTCAGCCTGGAAAAATGTCACCTAGGTCTACAATATACTATTTTTATTAAAATATAGACTTTTCCAAGTATTTTTTTTTTCTGAAATAAAAAATGGATCAATTAATAACGGAGATACGATTTTTTTTTAAAATTCCTCCATCTGTGATCTTGGAGTGGCTGTTTTTCGGAAAAAAATAATTTTCAAAAATGCCAACATACCATTTGGTAATCTAGTAGTCCAATATTTTCATAAAATAATGCATTTTTAAATTTAGCACGAGATCGAAGCGAGCGGACCCTATGATAATGGACTATTTTGGGATTCTTTATAATATTTCTTGTTTTCGGGGTTATAGTTGTGCTCACTTTCAACCAAATTGGACTTAAATTTATGTTGCCCTGGATGTTGCCTTACGGTTAATACGGTTAATGCATAAATGAAAGTATTCTTCCGCACTAGGGCGGAAAAGTGAAACTTTACAAACTAAAATGCGTGCGGAAAAGTGCACTTTTTTGCGCGCTCGTAGAAAATAGCTATTTTCCTAACGAGTGCGGGCTTCCGGAAATTTCTTCCCGCAAGAGTTAGGAACTATATTTTTTCTACGAGCATACTAAAGCTGATGTTACGAAGAGTTTAATTTAAATTAAATGCGATTATGCAGAAGGTAGAATTAAAAATTTATTAATAGTTATTTATACACCAAGTGAGTTAAATGAATGTTTATTCATGAGAAGAAATTTTAACCCACGAGCCCTAGCGAGTGGGTTAATTTTCTTCGAATGAATAAACATTTTAACTCACGTGATGTATACAAAATTTTATCCCATTTTGATGGTCATTTAGAAAGTAAATAATATCTAATACCTTATTGAAACTGGTAGTTGCTAGGGTATAACTAGTTGTTTGTTTGTATTTGTAGCAGGTTTTATACTGGCAGAGTGAGTTAAAAGGCCGAGAGTGAGTTAAAAATATTTTAAATCACTCAGGTGATAAACCTCTACTTACCTTGGTTATTAGGCGTTCAATAATGTCATTTTTAAACGTCAAAATGGGATAAACGGTATTTATAAAAAGGTAAAGGTACAGGTATAGGTGTATCAACAATAGAAACAATTCCATGTCACAATGATTATCTCGAACTCAATCAAATCTCTTCCCGTACAGCAAATCGTGCGGGAAGAGCCATTTCCCGCACGCTCTTAGAAAAAAATATTTACTGTTGCTTTATCGGTTGCTTCATAGTTGCTATCGCGAACTCGAGCATCAGTTCGTTTACGAACCTTGACTTTTTCAAAACTATTGAACTGGCATTTGAATACCTTTCGGTAGGTATATGTATATCTTGGCAGACCAAAAGTCTATCCTACGATCCAATTCGAAGCAGTAGACCCACTAAACTTGTCACGCTATTGACCGTATTCAAAGTTATCAGACTTCTATTTACACTTTTGTTCTTATCGTGGCATTATAATCCTTATTATTTCTGTAGTCGAATTTGACGATTAGGTATTTTTCGTCACAAACTATCGAATTTTTAAGCATTTAAAACGGCCTCAGCTAGGATAAAGAAAACCCCTTTTCTGTTAGTCGAGCTTTCGAGAAATTATTTTTACAGGACATATAGGTACTAAAAATCATTATAAATGATAAAAGCATGAAAATATTAAAAGTTTGTAAATTGTGGTGTTATCGTTATCAATCTGACGCAGAGGATCTAACAAATATGCAACAAGGGAGGGCGTGCGCGAACAAAAAAGCGTATCCGAGACTGTGTGTGTGTGACAAAGACCCAGAAAGATAGTGTTCGCATGTCCCGCAAGTATTACAACTTAAAGACGCTCTCGAAAAAGCTGTGCTCGAACTATACGAGTTGCTATTGGGAAGTGCGTATGGTTTTTAGTATAAGAAAGAAGACCCAAAACGAAAAGAAAAAAATAGAAAATTATTATGAAGCATCTAATCACCAAGTGGGTTGTTCAGGGTCTTTTGTTTGAGAAAATCCCCTTAGAGGCCTAAGAATATAATACAACCTAAGCTGTTCACCCTAGTCCTCAAAGATGTAAGTAAGGAACTACATTGGGAAAATAGAGGAATCAATATGTCTGGAGAAAATCTCAAAAAATTAAGATTCGATGATGACATCGTAATATTCACACCGAACGAAACAGACTCAGAAATCATGCTGAAAAAATTACTCGAAGAAGCCAAGAAGATCGGATTAGAAATAAACGTATCAATACAGATAGGGACACAATATCAATAGAAAACCAACAGGTATGAGGAGCGAGGGGGGTGAAGCATACGGCAAAAACAGGTGTGACGTCAGGTGACCATTGGCGTTCTAACGTAGAGAGCCACCAGCTCACATTCCTCTGGAGTATCAGATTAAAATCGACGGAGTATATCTAGGACGGGAAATAACACTTGGCAAAGTCAATCAATATGGAGTTTAAATTATTGGACAATATCTGAGAAGGTTGTTTTATATAGAATGATTTAGCTTTATCCAAAGTCGCAAAATTCTCAAAATTCATGTTATGGGTACGTTTCAGTTATGATTATTATCATCCAGTACATGCCTCAGTCAAAGCGCAAACCCTACGACATTCACTCTTGTGAGGGACCACAGTCTGCCTTCAAGATTCCGTGATTTTTGACCAAAATATGACTGCTTAGAGACACTAGATGGGATCTGGTAAACTACATTCTGGTATTCTAGAAGCTCGGAGAAGGCTGTTTTAGTTTTGGTATGAAATAAGGAATCAGTCTTTGTTTGTTTCTTCTCCATTTTACCGTCGAATTATTATGAGTTACGGCCTCTATTGAAGGCAATGACGAAAAAGAAACGGGTATTCCGGACGTTGATCTCACTTCTACCATCGAAAATCTCATTTCGGTTATTGAACAGAAAATTGTTGATGGTTAGGGGTTGGATATGAGCGAGGATATGAGTATGTCCTGAAGATGAGAAAAAATAAATTCTCCAAAGCTTGACTAACAAAATACGGATTTTCCTTTCTCCTAAGGCATATTTAAGATGAAGAAACCAACACAAGACTGCATCCACGATCTACGAGAACTTAGCCAATACTTAGAGGTTAGAGGACTAAGTCGTCATATTTATTACCAAGGCAAAGGAGCAAAAATTACCTCCGACGCGTTTGAAAATTTCAATAGCAATCGAAATGCTGATTAAAATCTTTTCCATCTCGGCTCAAAGTTAGTAATTCACGAATGTCACAAACAGGTCCAGCCAAAAAAAGTCTGCTATATTGTATTATAAAAAGTAATCAAAAAGCAATTACCCAAGTGAAAAGAATAGCGTATAAACCGACAGGTTCTTCTGGTCCGGAAAGTCTCACGATCGAAATAATACCTATATTTCCAAATAATTTTACAAAACGAAACTGTTAATTGTAACTGCCTTAAAACTGCACATAAAGTTATTACATGAATATTAAACAAAGTACCTCGCGATTAGCGGATTGCAAACCTTAATGATTCTCGTTTTCAAAATGTGGGTGACACAGACGCACTGGCTTATATGGTGGAATAGACTTTGATGGAACGGAATTACCAATTTATTTTCTTCTCAGAATAAAACCGCTGATAGAGATTCCAATAAAACCGATTTTCAACATTTCTACAATCCAAAGTCTTTATCAAACATAACACCAAAGTCTAACTACATCAACATCTCCTTAATATTTGTCTTTCTATTCTTCTTCGACCAGAAAGCAGGGGTTTCCTACCTGTACCTAAGCCCCTTTAGTTTACTTCTCTACAATACCATCAAACTTAAATCATTTAAATTTTGACCATATTATTTTGCATTTTGGGGACATACTAATTTCAAAAGGTGGTCTAAGTCTGGTTATACAATAAGTTTCAGCTGAGCTGTTTGGATTAATAATATACAGGGTGAATCTGAAAGTGAAGCTTTTTTTTAACAGGGTATATATCTCGCCAAAATAAGTTTGTTTGGCAAAAAATTATTAACATAAAATCAGAGATATTAAAATTAATAGGTTGAAAATGAAAAAAGGAGTTTTTGATTGATTTATCTGATGAAATAATGCAACTGTAGATTACCTATTATTAAATAAAACTCATTATGTTGGACAAATAAAGGCTTTTTTTCGAGAAAATGTAAACAAAATGTTTTATAGTTAGTTGGATGCCTATTCTCGAAACTGGGGAACAGTGTTCTCATGAGAACGATTGATCTGGTCTGTCAATGTTATGCAAATATGATTATGGGCGACTAGGACGAGGAAAATAAGACCTTCATTCTCATAAGAACGCTGCTCTCATGTTTCGAGAATATGTATGTATGTGTGTGTTTAGGTACTTTGTCTTGTGAAACTTTTTTTAGGAATATATTCATTATTCCTTTTCCTATAGAATAAATTGAAGATAACTTTACATACATTCAAAAATTGTCAAAATAGATATCAATTTCAAAGTAATGTGCTGCTTATTTCTATAGGCGATTTTCTGTGAATTTTTAATAGTTCACTTCATTAAAAAAAAATTATCCATGGGTTACCATCGAGTTTACCATTATTAAAATCTTCAATTCTTAGCTATGGGCCAAACAATCCAACACCACCATCCTCAACATCACAATATAATCACGCAACAAGCCAGGGCAGGAATGTTTGGGATGCACATAAGAAATAATATGCCCATACCAAAAGAAGAACCACAACTACCTCCAGAACAACCGCTTGAAATTAGCAACTGGAGCCATCACGATCATCACATGTCACCTCCACATCAACCAGTTATGTCACCTCCACATCAACCAGTTATGTCACCTCAGATGCAACAGGTAATATGAACGTTCCATCGTTGATTGACCAAAGAGAGCTTTATTTTTGACATATTTTGACACAAAATTCATTGACAAAATAAAAGAAAAATGTTCAAAAAATCATAGCCATCTTTGATACGTTTTTTTTTTTAAGATACGTTATTATTTCCTATTTATTTTATTGACGATGTTTTTTCAGCAATTAAGTGTTTCTCCACCTGAACAACAACAAAACCTTCACTACTACAACGGTCAATCGGATCGAGGATCTCAAAGTTTGCGAGAAGTAATTCAACCTGCTAATAATATGATACAGCAACAATCAATGCCTCAATCACCAATGTCCAATGTTCCTGATAATAGTGGACCAATTAAGAATAATGTTTATCCTACAAATAATTGGGAACAGCAACAACAAATGTCTATGCAAAATGAAACAACAAATACAGGTAATAGTTATTAACTCTTACAAGACCAATTAATAGCAAAACGGTAGAGGCTGAAGTTTGGAATCCGAGGCGGCAGCTGAGGATTAGATCATAATCAGCAATCAACCAAGGTTGTTATTTGCATTTATCGGCCGTTCTTCATTCTGGATTTTCCATCACGCTGCCGATTTTGCAAAACAAAGAATACTTGTTTAAGAGCTTTAGTTGCTTTCATTAGTTTTTTTTTTACAAACTTTCAATACGACAATAACACGTTTCTATAAGAACAGTTGTGTACTGGAAACTTGTATATAATCCCCTTGCTTGAGGTATGTTTTGCGGATGTTAAGTTTAACTTCTCAATTCAAATTGTGATCATGTTATAATAATACATTAACAGTACGATATGATGGAAAAATTTAAATATTCTGCCGCAATCATTTCAGGGTGAATATTTTTTTATGTGATTATGAGACAAAAATAAGTCCAATATTCACAACATTTTAATTCAAAAATCAAATGGCACTCAACGCGTTTCGATCTGTGACCAAATTCAAGCCATGATTTAAAGTTGCTCGTGAATGATACTTCATATTATCTTGAAGAAGTACCAAAGCTTGAAGAAAAAGTACCTATCTAATAAAAATCATGAAAGTCACTTTCCTTATCACTTTCATATGATTCCTCATTAAACAATCAAAACAAACAAATCTGACATTCACAAAAAGTTAGATCTGGCTTCATACATATTACTGTGGGGGCTAGCGGGCAATTGGTTGTTAGTTTAGTTCCATTTATCAATTTACAAAATTATTCTTCAAAAAATCGTTTGAAGTGTAGATCTGAGCTTTAGCAATCTCAACGCATCCAACTTTTTTCCATTCCATCCATTGCAGCATTTTAAAATTTTTCTGTCAGAAGTCTCATTATGTTATTTTAAATGGTTTCCAAAGATCAATTTGTTATCACTAGAATATTTATATATAATTATCGGTTTATAACGTTCTACGTCTTCCGATTCCCGATCTCCAACCATCTCTGTCAATCCAGGCATCCTCTTCTAAGCCTCTGTCTTTCATTTCCTCGTCTACTCCGCTTCTCCAGCTTCTTCTTGGTCTGCCGCGTCAACTTCTTCCCCCTGGCTTCCACTCAATTATTTGCTTGGGTATTCTTGTATTTGCCATTCTTTGTCCATGTCCGAACCAAATCAGCTGTTTGTCCTTTATATCATCTATTATTGTGTGTTTTACGTCCATAATCTCCCTAATTCTCAGATTTGTTATCCTTTCCATTTTTGACCTGCCTGCCGATCTCCTCCAAAAGTCCATTTCAGTTGCTTCTAGCATTTTTGCGGTTCTTATCTTTATTGGCCAGACTTTTGAACTATACGTGACTATGCTTTTGACATGGTGTTGTATATTCTCGTTTTCTTAGTTTTGTTGATATTTTGATCCTACAGTACACCATTCAGTAGGGATATCGCCTTGGGTCCTTGTATATTCCGATCTTTAATTGCTTCGTCTAGGGTTCCCTCATGTGAGATTTTCATGCCCAAATATTTGTATTCAGTACATTGTTTTATTTCTTGTCCGTTATTCAATTTTATATTTCGTTATTCACCTCCTATAGTCATATATTCTGTTTTCGTTAGATTTACTTGTAAACCCCATTTATCGTACTCCTCTATCAATTTTCGTGTCATGTACTCTAGGTCATCATAGTCAAGTGCAATTAATACTTGATCATCTGCAAAGCTTAAAGTATAAAGATTGTATTCATTGAGCGGTATTCCCATGTATCTACATTTGTTTTTCCACCCTTTGAGTGCTTGTTCTAAGTATATTTTAAAAAGTGTTGGTGATATGCAGCATCCCTGTTTAAGTCCTTTAGTTGCTATAAAGCCTTTACTGATTAAGTTTCCCTGTTAAAATCTTGGTCTTTGCGTCACTATAGAGCGTTTTTACTGCCTTTATTAGTTCTAAGTTGATATTGGTCTTTCCCACTGCTTCCCAAAGCTTTTTCAGCGGAACATTGTCGTATGCTTTCTTTAGATCGACAAAAAGTAAATGGAGTTCTTGGTTATAGGATAGGCTAGTTTCTTTTCCATTACCTGGGTCAAACCGAATAAATGGTCTACAGTTGATCTTCCTGCTCTAAAACCGGCCTGTTCTTCTGCCTCACTATCTTTGTACTCGTTCTCTATTCTGACTTTTATAAGTTTTCCATACACTCTGCTCAGCGTATTTGTAACTGCAATTCCTCGGTGGTTCTCGCATTTGTTTCTGTCTCCTTTCTTATATATCGTTGTTAAATAGCTAATTTTCCACTCTTCCGGTACTTTATGTTTATCTATGCATGTTTGAAATAGTGTTGTTAAATGTTTGTAGAGTTTATTGGTCCCACACTTTATCAGTTCTCCATATATTTCTCCTGGGCCTGGTGCCCTACCATTTTTCAAGAAGCCGCAGTGTTTTTTAACTTCTTCTTGCATAACTCGTATTGGTGATCCTGCAGTTTCTATGTTTCGTGTCTATTCCTTTTCTTCTCTCTGCCCGGTATTCTGTCAATAATTCTTCAAAGTACTCTTCCCATTGCTGGGGTGTTATTGTATTGATAATATCCTTAGTTTGTGTTTTTCTCATGTTTTTGAGTAATCTCCATCGATCTCCAACTTTCTGTGTTTCTTTTACCTCCCAGATAAGTACTAATATGCGCACAGTTTCTTTCCCATAACTCGTTCTTTTTGTTCACTTTTTTATTCCGTACTCTTGCTTGTGCTTCTTTATATATTTCTTTGTCCCGTGTCTTATTTGAAGTTAGATACTGTTGGCATTTCTTCCTTTTATCTTCTATGTCTTTCTCTATTTCTTGGTCCCACCAATAAGGTGTGGGTCTACTTCCCTTTTTTTCATATTTGCCAAGAGCTTCAAATGCTGCACTGTGAATACTCTCTTTGATATGTTGGTAATGCATTTCAAGGTTTTGGAAGTTCATACTACTCTGTAATTTTTGATCTAATCGCTTCATGTACAACCCTTTTACGCTTTGCTCTTCTAGAGATTTTAGGTTATATGTCTCAGACACAATATTGTCTTCTTGGTTTTTCATTCCGTTTTCTTTTGCGGTGTTTCTGCCCGGGATAAAAATTTTTGTTTTTAGGAGGTAATGATCGCTACCACAGGTCGCTCCCCAATATGCTCTCACATCCTGGAATTTTATGTTCGAGCTCTGTTTTGCGATAGTGTAGTCAATAATAGATTTTTGTTGTCTAGTTTCATTTTTCCATGTGTATTTCTTTATGCTGAAAGTAACCGTTTAGGATTTTTAGGTTATTTTGTTGGCATATTTCTATGAGCTTTTCTCCATTGTTATTCGCTACATTCTCTCCGAGTTTTCCGACCACCTTGTCGTTGATTTTCCTTCCTGTTCGTCCGTTAAAGTCTCCCAGCAATATTATTTCCTTTGAAGTTCCTACTTTTATGATTTGGTCACTGAGTTGTTGATGAAATGGATCCTTTATATTAACGGGTTCGTCGTTGTTCACTCCATATATTCCCAAGAATGTTATTTTCCTCCCGAACATACATACATTTAGTTTTATTATGGTTTCGCTTACTGCTTCCCATGATGTTATATGTTTTCTCCATTTTCTGTGTATGAAGATCGAGACTCATTTCTTCGCTCTGAGTTCTTTTTGAACCCCGCTAAAGAAATGGTCGTACTCTCCCAGATTTTCTGAGCCCTGTCCTATCATTAGAATATCTCAGACAATATAATATATAGCTGTTTCTGCAGAAATCACAAACCAGAGTGAATTTTATTGGTGGAAACTAGTTTTCTGACTGTTTTCAACCAATAAAATTCGCTCTGACTGGTTTGTGATTTCTGCAGAAACAGAACTATTATTTTTGTTATTTTTCCTACGAGCGTGCGGCGTGCGTTTCCACGCACTGATATTTTTTTTTTAAATTTTTCTCTTTATGTCATGCTTTTCAAAAATTTTAGAACTTTTCGAAATTGCTCCACCGTTTTTTATCTTCAAGAAAGCTATTGGGTTTTTGTACTGACCAATATCGACCTCTTTAAGGAGTTGTTTACCATAAATAATTAATTCCAAAAACAATATGTCAATTTCTGTACGATCAGGAAAAATGTTGTACCTAACACGAGCGTAAGGTATCTTTTCCGCACTTACGGCTTTCAAAACGCTGTTGCGTGCAGAAAAGGATAACTTTCCGCACTTGTTAGGTAAATAACTATAACCCAACACCTTCTAATAATTAATAATTTGTTTTACAATTTTTTTTTTAACTTTTAGAAATTTTTCTTACTTCCTTATAAACATAGTACAAAAAACTGTCTTCTAATATATTAGCATGAATCAAACTCATATTGATTACCTCCTTTAAATCAGACATTAACAAGTTCTTAATAGTTATTTATACACCAAGTGAGTTAAATGAATGTTTATTCATGAGATGAAAGTTTAACCCACGAGCCCTAGCAAGTGGGTTAATTTTCTTCGAATGAATAAACATTTTAACTCACGTGATGTATACAAAATTTTATCCCATTTTGATGGACATTTAAATTAATAGGAATCAAATTATAAAAAGAATTCATCCAGTAGCATATGAAAGCGCTAATAACTAATTTTGAAATTGGTGGTTGCTAGGGTATAACTAGTTTTTTGTTTGTATTTGTAGCAGATTTTTATATTGACAGAGTGACTTAAAAGACCGAGAGTGAGTTAAAAATATTTTAAATCACTCAGGTGATAAACGTCTACTTACCTTTGTTATTATGCGTTCAATAATGTCAATTTTAAACATCAAAATGGGATAAAAATATAAAACTTATTCACGTTTAAGAGTTTGGTAAAAATATCAGCAATTTGTTTTTGAGTTTCACAGTATTTTAAGTCTATAGGTCCTTCTTGTACCTACATTTTCTTTAACAAAATAGTATCTCATATCAATATGCTTGCTCCTTTTATTAAACTGTCCACTTTTTATTAATTT